ACGGTAACTCCATTGAAATGATTCAAAACTAAAGTAACGAGACAATTTTTTAAAATGTAAGGAGTAGAAAGTACATATATTTGTGCAAAAATGTAAGGAGTAGAAGTAAAAAGTCGCCATAAAAATAAGTAGTAAAGTAAAGTAAAAATATAAGAAAAATCTACTTGAGTACAGTAACGAAGTATTTGTACTTCGTTACTTCCCATCTCTGGTTGTTAGAAATATATCACTCTCAGTAGTGTATCTATATAGTTTTAGTTTCAAATCTTTTGAGTTGAATTAATGAAATAAATGAACATTTTAATGATGTTCTAACCGATTGAGAAGCGCCTGTGATGCAATGTAATGTTTGTGGTTAGTTGGGGCAGAATAAATGAGTTTGGGACAACTGAGGTTGGGGATGGTGTGGCCAAGATGATGTTAGATTTAGAGGAGAAATGTTGTGAAGGTAAAGGACATTTTGGAGGGGATAACTGGGTGAATGGGGTAAAATTTGGGAGGAAATGAGAAACGGTGAGAAATATTTACTTGTATGCAAATATTCTGCTCTTTTTTTCACTTTTTCCTCCCCCAATAAGCTTACTTTTTTTTCTCTATCCAAGTCTGTAACATAGTCTGTTTTATTTCAGAGTGTAAATATCTCAGCAGCTAACTTTCAAGATTATTGACAAAGCAATCCTTTGGTGGCTTAACCTTTAAACTGACTGCCCTTTTCTCTTTTCTTTCATCTGCTAAAAGCAAATACTAGTAGAAAAGCCACCAACTACAAAGAAAAAAACCTGAGAGAGTCTGTAAACTCTGAGAGAATGGAGACATCCTCGATCTTCACTGAAGTGACAGCGTTGTATTGATGGTGTGATTTCCAAGAGGAGTGAAGACAGAGGGATAGATGGACTTCCCCGGGGGGCCGTGGGTACGTACCAGGAAAGGTAGGGTTGCTCTGCCCAAGGGAAGGGAGGGGGATATGCTGCATAGCCAACTGGTGAAGCTTGGTCAACTGCAGGGTAGGAAGGAAGTTAGAGCTAACCAATCAAAGTGGATTATTTCAGAGGAGCTGAAAACTACAATCTGAAGTTCACAAACATCACAGATGGTGTCAGTGTGAAAGAGATTCATCTGCCTTAGAAAGCATGCAGAATACAGACACATCCCTGGCTACAACTGATAATAGATCAGATCATTTCCATTTCAATCAATGCAGGTCACTACTGTGGGTTAGTGTTAGTAATGTCAACAGATCAGGGTTACTGAAGTTTCCTCTTTGCAGAGTGGGGCTCAGAAAGGGCGTATCGGTGTGCTTGGAAGGAGTGGGCAGGAGCAGATCATTAGAACGGGTGTCGTTCACTCGGGTGGGTATACTTACATCTTGATGTGCAAATGCATACTGTCCTGGAATAGCAAACGCCTGAAAGGACACAATATATGAGAGGTGAGGATACAGCATGCTGGAACATGCAACAGGAAATAGAAACTCTTTCAGAGATTCTGAAGTGTGAGGACAGCACAGTGGAAATCCATTCCCTTCCACTTTTCCCTGGCTCTAATGCGTATGGATTTTGATGGAGAATCATCTAAATGTCATCTGCTGTTTTTTTGCCCCCTTTGACTGTGGCTTGAAATCCAATAATATAAACAGATGTCTGATAGGTCAGAGCGCACAGAGCCAAAATCCAGGACAGCAGCTTGCCAGGCAGTCGAGCACATGAACTTTACACGCAACCCATCTTTCAGGTTTCGCTCTGCCATACCGGTATATTCAGAGTCTGACAATTGTAATACAGCCACTAACCTGTATGTATTGAAATTGGATTTCATATAACAGACTAAAGCAAGCTGGTGCATGATTGTGAACTGAAGGGAAAAGGGATTCATGGGTTTTATATAGAAAAATATGAAGATGGTGTCCCTTTTTTATTCAACTCTAAACCTTTTCCAATAAAGCTGCCATTTTCCTGCTGGAAGGTAAAGCTCAGCCCCAGATGCAAGTCTTTCTCACAAGGTTTCCTATCTAAATGTCCTGTTTTTCACTTCAACCATTATTCTGCTCTGTACTGAGGAGAACCTTCCCTACATCGTGATGGTATCACCACTTTTTATGATTGATAAGAAGGCTTACTTTTCCTCCACACATCTTAAAATCAGACATCTGTCTGGGGTTGCCATGGGTCTCTAAGCCTTTTCTCTGATTCATGCTTTTTTTGGCCTACCTGTCCGTTTAGGTTGATAGCCAGGTATCGGTTAGTCTTAAATTTTACTTTTCATTTTTTTCCAGAGATCATCTGAGCAGAGCTCTGTGAGACTTTTAAAGGTTGGGATATTTTTCTGCAACATAACCTAACTTTAAACTCCTCCAGGAGTTTCTTTCTGTCCTGTCTGCTGTGTTCATTGTCTTTTTGATGCTGTTGCTGAAAACTTTTGGCCTCTGGACTTGAATTAGGGGTATCATTTTAGAGGAAGAGTGTTATACAAGAGCATAAATACTTTCAAAATGATCATATGTACAGAAACAAAAACAGAATTAATAGAATTTTCCTGTCTTTGTTTTGGCTCCCTATATTTGGGGTCAGGAAACACGAAGTTGAGGCTCAAAAAAACAATTATCTGAATTATTCTATATGACCCCGCAGGCATATGCAGGACTAATGACTGTACAAATAAATATATTTAAATGCCCCATTCCATCAACAGACGTACCAATAAATATCCATTTCGATAATAAAATGCACCAGAGACTTATTTCATATTTATCAAATAATTAAATATACCATAAATCATGAAATGTGGAATTGAAAATTCCAATTTTACATAAAAAAAAGTCAATCCTCTATATGGATACAGTCACTAAAGTCATTCAAAAATTAATGAACTATTTTTCTCTATATGTATAGAAATAATACGATGATTATGTTATTTTTTAGGATTCTACGGTGGCCTGGAGGTGCAAACCAACATTACAAAATCTAAAACACTTTTTAAGTTCCAAAACACATTATCATTTCAGAAAAGAATAATGATAATTTGTTTTGGAACTTGTAAAAGTGTTTTTTAAATGTTAATTTGTTTACTGAAATGATAATTTGTTTTGGAATTTGTAAAAGTGTTTTTTTTATGTAAATTTGTTTACTGAAATGATCATTTGTTTTGGAACTTAAAAAGTGTTTTTTTTTTATGTAAATTTGTTTTCTGAAATTATAATTTTATTTTGGAACTTAAAGTGTTTCTTTAAATGTAAATTTGTTTTCTGAAATTATAATTTGTTTTGGAACTTAAAAAGTGTTTTTTTTTATGTACATTTGTTTACTGAAATGATAATTTTATTTTGGAACTTAAAGTGTTTTTTTAAATGTAAATTTGTTTTCTGAAATTATAATTTGTTTTGGAACTTAAAAAGTGTTTTTTTTTTTTATGTAAATTTGTTTTCTGAAATGATAATTTTATTTTGGAACTTAAAGTGTTTTTTTAAATGTAAATGTGTTTTCTGAAATTATAATTTGTTTTGTTCTTGTAAATGTTTTAGATTTTGTAATGTTGGTTGGCACATCCCGGCCACCGTAGGATTCACCAGGTTGTCATTATTTTGCCATTACAAATCTATATAATTACTATTTTGCAGGTTGCAGACGAGTGGAAATCATTGTAGAAGATCTCAATAGAATACACTAAAGTGTTTTTTAAATGTCAAACTGTAAAAGGAGCAGGTAAAATGAGAAATTAGACACTTAAACCACATTAGACTCTACCTCTTGCTTTAAATGGCCTCTTATTGCATCTTTGTTGCTTATTTGTTGTTTTGGATATTGCTCCGTGTTGCTCAGTGAGTCCATGAGAATCAACATTTTAATTTGTCTGCATGCCATGTATATATAAGAAAATTGACAATAAAATTTACTGAAGTAATTACATTCTGGCTTTAGCCTTCCTAACATTATGCCTTTATGATCTCTCTGCTTACATTGTCTCAACATTAATTCAGAACGGTATGTTCACCCAAATGAGTCCCTCTAGTGGTTAATGATCAGTGTGCTGCGGCTGAACGCTTTTATCCTTAAATTGTTTATATTGACCACTTACTTGTGCAGAATGCTGCGGTGCCAGTACAGCATGAGCTCCTGCAGCAAGGACCTTGGGACGGTAAGGAATGGTCGCTCCCTTCGGTGGAGACTGGAGGCACGGCCATGCAAACCAAAGAGGGAGAAAACATAATGCACTCCTACAGCTGGCAGTGGTGCATTTTATGTGCTACTTTATACTACTCAATCAGCATTTTTATGCCCCTTGCATCTGCAGTGAAAGGTACATGAGACCCTGAAGCAAATAAAGCTGCGAGCAAACCCAATAATGAGGATTAAGTTGAAACTTAAATCCAAGCCCAGCGCTTCACCTGATGCTGCAGGAATACATTAACAGTAAATTCTGCTGCTGACAGCCTTCAGAAAATACTAAGTAGGAAAACAAAGAGGTTTAGATATTCAACAAGGGTTTACTGATGAGAAATGATATTATGGAGAAAACCTGCAAACAGTAGAATACACATAAGGAATTAAACATCTACCTAAAAATACCAGTATATTAGTGTTGCTTAAAACTTTTGCAACTACTGAACTTCTTCATATCAGGCAGCTTAATAACCGAACCCTTTTTTGCAGAAGTGTTTGAGTTTGAACCCTGAACAGATGCAGCTGAATGTGAAGATCAGCTGCTTTCTGATGGAGCTCACCTCCAGCATGACGGAGCAGATGTGCCTCACACACTGAGTGATGGCCTGTGGAGTGCCCGAGATTGTGACAGCCCTCTCTGTAGAGTCCGGCAGCATGTCTCCCGCCACCTGAACCTGAGCGCCTGTGGTCTTTACATCAGCAGAAAAACACAGAGGAGATAAAAACGGTTTATTCCTGAAAATAACAAACCATCTTGCAGAGTGAAATGCATTTTGAAGCACCTCCAGACTACCTCAGACCCACTGTGACCTGCAGGGAGCAGCTGCAGGCTAAAAGGCAATGCATGCTCCAGTGTTTGAAGAAACACTTGCAGATATTGTCCATTCGGAAGGGATGGGGGGGTTCAAACTATGCTGAACCTTAAGGGGTTATTCATAAGCAGTGACCAAAGAGACGATGTTGAAAAGCACAGAAAACAAGAAATGTTTGATTTGAGTTTCTGATGAAAATGTTACCCTAGAGAGGAGTATTTTTTATTTCTGTTGGGGTGCAACAAAAAACAACTTTCTGCTGGGAAAGACAGAGGAAATAAAACCCTCTTACCTCTCTTATCTCTTTGATCTTAGAGCCTCCTTTTCCTATAAGCGAGCCACACTGGCTCCCTGGGAAAACCAGGCGCAGAGTCACAGGTGGCTTGCTTGTCACGTTGCTGTTCGTCATGGCTGCGGTGATATCCTGAGGGAGAATTCAAGAAATATGTTTCCGCTTCTTTTCCCTCTGTTTTATTTACAGAACGTCAAATTTGTTTGATGTGTCCTTTTCAGTTATTTTACAAAGCTGTGGGAGCCGAAAGTTTCTCAAAACTCCGTTGTCATAGCGAATGATGCAGATAAATGTGCAGTCAGGGTAAAAACAAGGTACAACCTTATTCAGCTTAAAGAGTTTACCAGCTTCTAAAACAATTTGACTTTAATTTAAAAAAAACTACACGCTGTATTACACCTCTTAAACAAAGGGGAGACAAAAGGTTTAATCAATAGTTTTCCTTTTTTAAAAGAAGTACAGGATCGGCTGTATGAAGCCCTGTGCTTACTGATTATCATCATGTGACCATCGCAACATAAACAGGAGTTTAGGCTACATTGCTGTGTTTTAACACAATGCCAAGGAAGCAACAATATAAGCAATCTCTTAAGAAAGGCAACTGTTGCTCCACATCCATCTGGGATTGGTCAAAACACCTCTATTTTTTTAAACGTTGAGAAGAGCATCAGTCTGTTATTGTTCCTTCACACAGAGAGGAAGACCAGGGCTGACCTTCCCCCCCGTCCAGGACTTGATACAGGCAGCGAGCATCTGGACACTAGCTTTTTATATCGATCAACTTGTGTTTGCCACTGTGAGACAATGAAGCTACAGTATGTCCTATTTTCTTAACTTTTTATGTCGATTTTTTTGGAGTCACCCTGTCCTGATACGAGAAAGCAACCAGACTCGACATAGAAAATGAAGGGAAAGATCTTCCCTGTGAGCACATTAAGACTGTTGCCAATATTCCCATGGGTGGGCAACCATTGTGCATCCATTGCTTGTTTGGAAGCATTTTTCAAGACAATATTACTCGAGCAATGCCCCTACGAGCAGATTTGGCAGTATTTAATACATGCCATGTTAAGGGAAGAGAACGGAGCACATAAAACAGCTGTCAAGCACGGTGGGGAAAGGATAATGATCGGGTTTGCTCTGCAACCATAGGACATAGACAGCTTGCAGTTCCAGCGATAAGCAATGAATTCCCTGTTCTACTGAATGTGTTTTATAGTCAAATGCGAAGCTCTTCGTGGAGGGCTGCTCAGTGGCACAGTGGGTAGCACTGCTGCATTGCAGCAAGAAGGTTCCGAGTTCAATTCCCGGCTCAGGGTGGGTCTGCATTAGCCTGGGTGCCATTCCGGACTTAGTCCCGCCCACAAGGTTTGAGGTCGGGAAGTTCGGTCTGGCTC